CTTTCCTCCCCGCCCCGACCAGGGCTCCGGCAGCCGAAGACCTCCAGGACCAGCCACCACCATGCTGAGACCACTCTCCGCACACATGAAGGTACTGGCAGAGGGACAAATCCATGCGGGTTCCGGGGCCGAGATCTCCCAGCTACTCGGATTGGAGTCGAGCATCCTCCACCCAGATCCTACAAATTCCAGTAGGCAGGGGTCACACCCACCAACTGGACCCCTAGCGCGGTGTAATCCCATCAGCGGCCAAGACTCTGAGACTATAAAACTCAGCTCCTGGAATCGCGCGGCCTCATTCGTGGTCGCGCGACACCTTATTATGACATCTTATTATCTCACTCCTACTTTGACAAACTGGCAGGCTACCAAACGTAGCCTGCCCACACGGCAGAGTCTGGCAAACTCCCCTTGGCGTACCCAATATGCCAAATACCAGTAACAATGATGGGTCTCATTCTCCTAAAGAGCCTTGAATATAACCTCAGGGCCAGGATGAAGGAGCTGTTACTGGGGCCTGCTCGAGGCAATCGACGAATAACAGGATGATTTGTGATTGTGATTGTGATTTGAGTCCATATTTCACCTACCAAATTGATATTTTATTTTTACCAAATGGATATTCAACATGTGATTTCAGAATCCTAATACATCTATAAGGGTTTAGGTCCCCAACATTCATGTATCCCCATTTCCAGAAACAACCAGTTTTACCATCTAGGTGACTCTCTCATTGTTCTCCAAGTTGACTGCTCATGACTATCTGACACATTGTTAAAAATATCAGCCCTATGTATTTGAATAAAGTTTATTATTTTCATATATATCACATAAAAATAGATTAAAGACAAAAGAAAATATGAAAATCTACCTAACTTCTGATGAGATAGAGAAGACACTTCAAATACATACAGTGCAAAGGATTTGCGCTTCCACAACACCATTATGTTCTGGATTAGTTTTGTCCTTTTTCCTTCTTATTTGTGGGTGAGGACTCCCAAGCAGTGCTCAGGAGGCTTCTGAGCAAGCTCCAGGGTCTGCAGCGCCTCCCCTGTGGTGCTCTGAGGCCCATGTGTACCGCATAGAACACAGTTGTTGAAACTATTTTCTTTTTTTTTGCTTTTTTTGGGTCACACCAGGCAATGCACAGGGGTTCCTCCTGGCTCTGCACTCAGGAGTTACTCCTGGTGATACTCAGGGGACCATATGGGATGCTGGGAATTGAACCCGGGTCGGCCGCGTGTAAAGCAAACGCCCTACCCATTGTACTATCTCTCTAACCCTGAAACCCTTTTTTAAGGAGAAATTTTATGTAAGCAACATTATTTACAAAGTTGTTCACTATACAATTATTTCAGGAAGCCCATGTTCCAACACCAATTCCACCTCCAGTGTAACCTCCATTCAACAAAGTCCCCTGTTTCCCACACACCCCTCAGCCTGTCCCCTTAGCAGGCACAAAGAAATATATTTGATTTCTTTGTTTTTCATATTGCTTGTTACAACACATGGTAAAGCATAAAATTATTCCTGAATTAAATTATTCCCTTTGTAAGTGGCAGTTCTTGCTGGGATGAACGTGGTGGCACAAACGCTCTAGCTCTCTGAGATAGCACACAGGTGAATTGGGTCTCTGAGGTCACACACACACTCTGGCTCTGAGGTTGCACATGTCAGCTGTGGTGTCAGCACACTTGACTACACTGCTCATTGTTCTATTTGCACACACAGGCATTTCCTCCCCACTCAGAAACCTGACCCCCTAGTGGGCACAAAATAATTTACTTGATATTGCTGTTGCATGGCAGAGCCTGGAAAGCTCCCCGTGGCGTATTCAATATGCCAAGAACAGAAACAACAAGTCTCACAATGGAGACGTTACTAGTGCCCACTAGAGAAAATTGCTGAACAATGGAGGACAGTGCTACAGGGCAACATATTGCTTGTTACAATAAGAAAGTATCAGGAAAGAGATCAATAGACGTCCATATGTGTTCACCGTTCTTTCTCACAATGGTGTTACTAAACCACTGTTTGAGGGTTTCCTGGACTGTTTTGTGCCTCTGAGCCTTCTTTCTTATTATTTTTGCTCATTGAGCTTGATGGGCTTCTACACAACATTTCATCATCATTTTTCATTTCATCATCCTGTTATTCGTCGATTGCCTCGAGCAGGCCCCAGTAACGTCTCTTTCATCCTAGCCCTGAGATTATATTCAAGGCTATTTAGGAGAATGAGACCCATCATTGTTACTGGTATTTGGCATATTTGGTACGCCACGGGGAGTTTGCCAGACTCTGCCCTGTGGGCAGGCTACATTCAATAGCCTGCAAGTTTGTCCAAAGTAGGAATGAGATAATAAGATGTCATAAAAAAAAGTCCTGATAAGATGTCCCGCGAATGCGAATGCGAATGCGGCCGCGCGGTTCTGGGATCTGGATTTTATAGTCTCTGAGTCTTGGCCGCTGATGGGATTACACGGCGCCAGGGGGCCAGGTGGTGGGTGTGACCCCCGCCTACTGGAATTTGGAGGATCTGGGTGGAAAATGCTCGACTCCAATCCGAGTAGGCTTGGAGTTCTCGGCCCTGGAACCCGCGTGGCTTTGTCCCTCTGCCAGTACCTTCATGTGTGCGGAGAGTGGTCTCAGCATGGTGGTGGCTGGTCCTGGAGGTCTTCGGCTGCTGGAGCCCTGGTCGGGGTGGGGAGGAAAGCTCAACCCGCTCCCCTCCAAGGGGCCCTGGGAAGGAACACCCAGGCGCGGGGGCAGAAAACTTTTTAAAAACTTTTTTTTTTATTAAATCACTGTGAGATAGACCATTACAAAGCTGTTAACAATTGGATTTCAGTCATACAATATTCCAACACCTATCTCTCCGCTAGTGTACATTTCCAGCACCAGTACCCTGGTTCCCTCCCATCACCCCCGACCCCCTAGACCCCTGCATGCCTCTATGCCAGGTGTTTTTCTTCTCTCTCTCTCTCTCTCTCTCTCTCTCTCTCTCTCTGTGTCTGTCCATTTGGGCATTGTGGTTTGCAATATTCTACAGAATATTTTACCAAATCTGCTGTTTTCCTACTGGGCTGGGGTCAGATGGTTCAAACCACTATGAAATGCAGTGTCACTCCAGAAGCTGGAACCATCTGGTGGCTTGGCAGCTTGATGAGGTTTAGTTGTGGAGCTGAGCCATTTCTATGCCTGAAAATTTTGGGTGTGGGTGGGAGCTGTTGGCCACTGGGCAGGGGAAGGTGACTGGGGTGTTCAGGGAACCTTTCCAACCCCATTCTGAGGAGGGCCCAGAACTCAGCCCTGACTGGTCTATGTGGAAAATTTAGCAGGTTGGCATTCTTTTCAAGATTACTCAAAGAACTGGGTCGTTTCTATGCTGAAACAACAACAACAACACTGGGGCTAGATAAATAAATAAAGCAGATGGAAGAAATAGGCCCTTTATGGGACCTTTTCACCCAGAATGCTGGCACTAGAGGTAGAATGTTGCCCCAGTAGGGGAAGGGGATTCCTGTATCTGCTCTATCTCTGCTTCCTCTCCTGAAAGTATCTCCCTCGAGAACGCCCATTACAATGATATTTCCCCGCATGAACCACGGCCCTTGGATGTGTAAAAGTCTGTCTTGCATACATTAAGGTTGTTAGGTATTTGCCCAAAGAATGTTGTTCTGATGATTATGGATTCTAAATAATAAATACGATTCACGGAGAACAGCCAAGGCTCAGTCCACAGGCTATGAGCCCCTCACCGCATGCTTTTCGCTCCCATTTCTGTCTCTTTCTCTTTCTTAGTCTTCATGGTGTCCCCAGTTCAGGTCTGCTCAGGTTTGCTCAGCTAGGACTTGTCCCCAGCAAAAATGGTTTTTCTTCAAGACTTTCTAGGAGCTGATGAGATAGTATAGCAGGTAAGGTGTTTGCCTTGCCCTTTGCCAGAAACAGGTTCTATTGCCTGCATCCCATACGTTCCCCTGAGCAGGCATCAGGAGTAATTCCTGAGTACAGTGAGCATCACTGGGTGTGACCCCTTGCCCTCCCCCCCAAAGACTTCCTGTTAGCATTAATTTGTTGTTGATGATGTTCCAGTTGAATTTATTTTCAGGCTTTAACTTTGCAGGAGAGCTATTACAAAGGTAAGAAACTTGCCTTGCATGTGGCCAATACCGTTTTTGTTTGTTTGTTTGTTTGTTTTTGCTTTTTGGGTCACACCTGGCGATGCACAGGGGTTACTTCTGACTCTGCACTCAGGAGTTACTCCTGACGGTGCTCAGGGGACCATATGGGTTGCTGGGAATCGAACCCCGGTCGGCCGCGTGCAAGGCAAACACCCTACCCGCTGTGCTATCTCTCCAGACCCAAGCCAATACCGTTTTGATCCTTGGCACCACATACGGTCCCATGAATCTGACAGGAGTGATCCCTGAGCACAGAGCCAGGAGTTACTCCTGAGCACTGCCTGGTGTGGCCAAGAGCCAAAAACAAAACAAAATCATCACCACCAACAATAAAGAGTTTTTAACTCAGATTCTTCACACGGCAAACAGATAGGCATAACCTGAATGCACAGAAGCATCTCTGGAGTCCTCAAGAACTTGTAAGATTGTAGTGAGATACTGAAATAAAAAAAAAAAAACATGGAAAATCGCTGAGTCAGCCTCAGTCCTGGACATGGGGAGACAGTGTGATAAAGATCAGGTAAGCAAAAAAAAAAAAAAAAAAAAAAAAGATCAGGTAAGCAAGCAGGTGAGAGGGCAAAGTCCCAGGTTGCAGGTGTCTCCAGGGAGGTGTTGGGGGCAGGAGGTCAGACCTGGGCATGCCTGGTGTCCCCAGAGTTTCACTCCTCCCTCTGCAACAGCGCCTTCTGCCATGGATCCCCAGTACTCACATTTCCATTGGGCGATGCTGTTTGGACCAGCCAATTAACGCCAGCCTGGCTCTCGGTTATAAATTTATGAGGGCCACAAGCGAGTCAGAGCCAGTTGGATGCTCTCACGATGCTCTCAGGATGTGTGATCTGCCTCCTGTCGCTCTCGGGGGCCCTGGCCCTGACCCAGATCCTGGAGGGTGAGTGCGGGGTCAGGAGGAAAGTTCGTTGGCGGGGAGGGTGGGGACTGCCAGGCATTGATGTGCAGGACCCCCGAGAAGGAGTTTCTTCGTTCCCTGCCTGAATGCCCCCCAAATATTCCTCCTTGTCCCCCACAACCTTCAACTCCTCCTGCCGTCCCTCCCCCCATTTCCCGTCTCCCTCTCCTCCTCCCTCCCCCCCTCCCCTCCCCCGTCTCCGCCGTATCCCTGGACCCGGGGCGCGCGGCGGCGAGTGGAGCCGAGTCTCACCCCTTCCCCTCCCCCAGGTCCCCACTCCCTGCGGTATTTCCGCACCGCCGTGTCCGGGCCCAGCAGCGGGGAGCCCCGCTTCATCACCGTCGGCTACGTGGACGACACGCAGTTCGTGCGCTTCGACAGCGACTCGGCAAGTCGGAGGATGGAGCCGCGGGCGCCGTGGGCGGAGCAGGAGGAACCCGAGTACTGGGAGCAGGAGACGCGGGTCGCCAGGAACAACGCAAAGAATTACCGAGTGGCCCTGGGCAACCTGCGCGGCTACTACAACCAGAGCGAGGAGGGTGAGCGCGGCCGGGCAGGGACGAGCCAACACGGGGACGGGCCGGGTGGCCCGGTGGCGGGTCCGAGCGTCCCGGACCTTGATCGGGAGGCGCCACGGGCCCGGGCCCGGTTTCGTTTTCGGTTGGGGGTTAATCTGTGCGGGGCGGGTCAGGCTCTCACACATACCAGAGCATGTATGGCTGTGACGTGGGGTCCGACGGGCGCTTCCTGCGCGGGTACACTCAATACTCGTATGACGGCGCCGACTACATCGCCCTGAACGAGGACCTGTGCTCCTGGACGGCGGCGGGCACGCAGGCTTGGCGAACCCAGCAAAAGTGGGAGCAGGCGGGTGCGGCTGAGCATCGTAAGAACTACCTGGAGAACATCTGCGTACAGGGGCTCCTCAGATACCTGGAGAACGGGAAGGACACGCTGCTGCGCGCAGGTACTGAGTACCTGAGTGGAGAGGACTACTGACCTTCGCTGGGGGCCGGGAGGGGGTGACTCCCCTCAAGGAGGGACCTAGTTGGGTTCAGTGTCCGAGCAGCCCCTTCTTCAGTCAGGAGAGGGACGGACCTGTCTGGTTTCCATGTTCTGTACCAGAGAGACTCGCCCTCCCCTCAGGCCCACCCTGTGTCCACAGGACCTTGAAGGTCTCCAGGTGTTCACTGGGGGAGGGGAGACCTCTGAAATGACGAATGTGGGTTCCCTGAGACCCAGCAGCCATTTTTGAACTCTCTCAGCTTTTAGCTATGACTCCTGCTTCAGTCACCCTCCATCCAGGACAGGATCAGAGTCAGTGTGTCCTGAGAGACCCCTAACCTCCTTCCCAAACCCTATTCGGGAACTTTCCAAGGATAGGATTTTATCCAGTTTCCCCAGCCAAGCTTGTGTCTGGATTTTTTTTCCCCTTTATTTTATTTTTTTTAAAGTTGTAGATTTACAATTTTTTGTGCTTTGGTTTCAATTATACAATGATCAGATACCCATCCCCCCACCAGTGCCCATTTTCCACCACCATGGATAATATCCCTCCCACCCCCATCCCCCCATCCCCCCTATCTCTGTGGCAGGGCAATCCCCTGTGTTCTCTCTCTCCTTTTGGGTGTTGTGGTCTGCAAAAGAGGCATTGAGTGGCAAACATGTTCAGTCCATAGTCTACTTTCGACATGCATCTCCCCTCCTGGGAGGATCCTCCAAACATCCTTTATTTGGTGCTCCCTTCTCTATCTGAACAGCCCTTTCCTCTAGGATACCCGGCTGGCCTCTAATTTATGGAGTAATCCTCCTGGTGCTGATCTCAGCTATTCTTGGGTATTAATCTCATACTTTGTTACTTTATATCCCCCAGATGAATGTAATCTTTCTATGTCTATCCCTCTCTTTCTGACTCATTTCGCTTAGCATGATACTTTCCATATTGTACCACTTGTATGTAAATTTCATGATTTCATCTTTTCTAAGAGCTACATAGTACTCCATTGTGTAGATGTACCAAAGTTTCTTTAACCAGTCATCTGTTCTTGGGCATTCAGGTTTCTTCCAGTTTCTGGCTATTGTAAAGAGTGCTGCAATGAACAAACAAGTGCAGATGTCACTTCGACTATACATTTTTGCCTCTCTGGGATATATTCCCAGGAGTGGTATTGCTGGGTCAAATGGGAGCTCAATTTCTAATTTTTTGAGAATCGTCCATACTGTTTTCCAGAAGGGCTGAACCAGTGGACATTCCCACCAACAGTGAAGGAGTGTCCCTTTCTCGCCACATCCACGCCAGCATCGGTTGCTTTTGTTCTTTTGAATGTGGGCCAGTCTCTGAGGTGTGAGATGGTATCTCATTGTGGTTTTGATCTGCATCTCCCTGATGATTAATGATGTAGAGCATTTTCTCATGTGCTTTTTTGCCATTCGGATTTCTTCTTTGCGAAAGTTTCTGTTCATTTCATTGCCCCATTTTTGGATGGGGTTGGATGTTTTCTTCTTGTGGAGTTTAACCAGTATTTTGTATATCCTGGATATCAACCCCTTGTCAGATGTGTATTCGGTGAATATCCTTTCCCATTCTGTATGTGTCTGGATTTTTTAAAAAATTTTTATTAGTGAAAAACCATGAGGTACAGTTGTAGATTTATAATTTTTTTTTGCTTGGGTTTCGATTATACAATGATCAAATACCCATCCCGCCACAAGTGCCCATTTTCCACCACCATGGATTCCAGTATCCCTCCCACACCCATCCCCCTATCCCCCCCTGCCTCTGTGGCAGGGCATACCCTTTTGTTCTGTCTCTCCTTTTGGGTGTTGTGGTCTGCAAAAAAGGCATTGAGTGGCAACCATGTTCAGTCCATAGTCTACTTTCAATATGCATCTCCCCTCCTGGGAGGATCCTCCAAACACCCTTTATTTGGTGCTCCCTTGTGTCTGGATTTTTGCCTCCTGTTTCAAACCAGTTATCCTGTTCACCCTCATTATGGAAGTGACCCAAACTGTGAATTTTCTCATTTTTCCTCCTCAGAAGCCCCCAGAAGGCATATAACCCACCACCATTACTCTGAACGTGAGGTCACCCTAAGGTGCTGGGCCTTGGGCTTCTACCCTGCCGAAATCACCCTGACCTGGCAGCGTGATGGGGAAGACCTTACCCAGGACACAGAGCTGGTGGAGACCAGGCCTTCAGGGGATGGAACCTTTCAGAAGTGGGCGGCTGTGGTGGTGCCTTCTGGAGAGGAGCAGAGATACACGTGCCATGTGCAGCACCAGGGGCTGCCAGAGCCTGTCACCCTGAGATGGGGTAAGGAGGGGGACGGGGCACAGAGCCTGTTCTCCGGGGAATCAAGTTTGGCCCCTCTGGGGAACTGTTAAGGGTCAGGCTGAGGCTGGGTGTCAGACCCTCTCCTTCCTTCCTTCCTAGAGCCCCCTTCTCAGTCCACCATCCTCTCTGTGGAGATCATTGTTGGCCTGGTTCTCCTCGGGGCTGTAGTCTCTGGAGCTTTGGTGGCAGCTGTGATCTCCAGGAAAAAATGCACTGGTAAGATGGGTTTGAGTGTGTGTGTGTGTATGGGGGTGGGGGGTGGAATCTGTCAAACATGCAAGTCTTGAGTCTTGTCCCGCTTTAGGGATCTCCCTGTATTAGTTCTACCTCATAAACAGGAGCAACACCTGCCCCTGTGCTGTTGCTCTCATGCTCCCTGTGTGTGCACCTTTCAGGTTTTCTCATGAAAGACACTGGTTACTGGGGTCACAGGTAACAGGGACTGTCCCTGCTGAGCACAGACCGCCAGAAGCAGGCTGGTCAGTCTAGGAAGTAAATCGTTTTTCGTGATCGTGCCTTCAGAGTTCTGACACTTCCCTGGGGTCCGGGCCTAGAGAGCTGCTCTGTGGCCTCAGGACCCAGTGCTCTCCCTGACCTTCCCTGGGATGTTTCCTTCCCGCAGGTGAGAAAGGAGGAAAGTACACTCGGGCTCGGGCTGCAAGTAAGTGTGGGCAGGGCTGGGCCCTGGAATCCTGGAGACAGAGACGGGAACCCATGGGGAGCTCCCGCACCCCTAGTTCCTCTTCTAGTTCACCCTCTGTGGCTCTGATCTTGACCTGTTTGTTCCTCCCCAGACAGCGAAAGTTCCCAGGGCTCTGATGCGTCTCTATCAATCCCTAGAGGTGAGCTCTGGAGGCTGTAGTGGGTGGGATTGGTCAGAGGGGACAAGACTGGGTTTGGGGTTCTTTGAGAGGGATGCTGGGAGCTTGCTCAAGATGTCACCACTCCTGTGACTCACTTGAGTCTCTTCATTCTTTTCTCTTACAGTGTGAGACAGCCTCCCCACTGGGTTTCCTCACATTGCAATGTTGTGACTTAAGAACTGCTGATTCTCTTCCTAACATGGGACCTGAGTGTGTCTATGTCCTGTCATATATTGTGAGGGGGGAGACTGGCCCACCCCTGCCCATCAGGGGCTCCCCATACTGATCTGCATTCTCTTCCCTGATGCTCTGGGCTGTGCCAGCAGAGACAGGACTCAGCAGTCTCCATCTGTATTAGCCTCTTGTTTTCCTGAATAATGAAATCAGCATCACATTTGCATTTTTCTTATTCGCTGTTTTGTGGGATTGAGGGGTTAATAAAGGAAATCCCTGAAAATTGAGAAGGAACAAATGGAAATCCTGAGACCTTTCATGCATTTTCTGTTTTGATTTGAATCTGTCCCAGATGTGACAGGAGAGGCTGTGAGGGGATGGGGGGACAGACCTGTGCCCAGTCTGTCTCTGTCTCAGCCACTGTGGGCCTTGGTGTGGTCACTCATCCCAGCCTCATCCTGTCTCAGGACCGTGGGCAGCAAGGACTTCTGTGCTGGTCAGTCTAGGCTCAGGCCTGGGTCTGCTCCTCAGCCCCATCTGGGTGTTTCTTTGTTGCTTCTGTGCAGGAGGCTGCCTGTTCTCTTGTCCACACATTCATAGCTCATTCTCTCAGTGTGTGTCCCCATCTCTTAACCTCAGAATTGCCTGTCACAGTCCCCTCATGGCCCAGCATGGCCCTTGCACACAGGAGTCTCAGTGGTATTGAGAGATGAGTGTTCAGAATTGCCATGTTGGAATTCAGCCCTCCCACCCACCAACCCTGAAGCTCTAGGAATCTTAGTGCTGTCAGTGATCTGAATTGATGGATTTAAACTTAGGGGTTGGAAAATGGGCTCTGTGAACCCAAGATTCTCTTCTCCCAAGAGATAAAGTGCTGTGTGCTGTGGGGTGCCATTGTGGGAGGGAAGTCAAGTGAGAATGAGAAGCATTTGTGAGAAAAGTGGAGGTGACATCGATGTCACTTGGAGTCGACATTTTCGCTACCATAGCACAGCATGTAGATTGAGGTTTCATGAATAAGACAGTGTCTCTACCATGTCTACACTGATCATCTACCCACTTTGCCAATAGGGGTCTTTCAAACAACAGAGAATGAAAATAAGGCAAAATTTATCAGCCTTTGAGACTGAATAGGAAAGACAGACTTATACTGAGAATATAATAACCAAGGCAAGTGTTCTGGTTTGAAATTTGTAACCTCTGGGAGGAACATGAGCCACTTGTAAGTGTGTGGGGACTGGGACAGTGACTGTTTTCCTAACCTGGTTAGTTTGGCTTTTGGAAGGTGACTTTTGGGGCAATGTGGAAGGATGTGAGGGACTGTTTGTATAGATGTCTGGTGCCAGGCAGGAAATCTCAGTGCAAAAGCCAGGGCAGGCGTGAGTCTGTGTCAGGGAAGAGGAGACAGTGTTCTGGCTGGAGCAGTCACTGAGGTGAGGTCCTGCTGCCCACAGGTGACGAGGATGCCATTACTCTGGAAGATTTTACTTCTATCTAAGAGGCGCAGCTGCAGGCAGATTTGAGTGAAGGTTCAGCCTTGGGTTATCAGTTTGACTGCTGTGCAGAAGGACAGGTGAGGGGACAGGGAATCGCAGAGAACTGGGAAGCTGTAGAGGTGTTGGGGGCCCTGGGGTGTGAACAGGTGAAATAATGGAGGTGGCTGGATTCTGCAGGCATTTGATGGTGGACTTTACAGCATTTCCTAATGCGTAGAATCTGGATTAGGAGACAGGAGTCAGGGAGAAACCCGAAATGTCAGGATGTGCAAGTGGAGTATGGGTGCTTTCACTGGACTCAAGAAAGATTCTGGAAGAAGCTCACTAAGGCAATGACACCATAGAATCCAAGTCAGGAAGATATCATCGGAGACCTGTCAGAAATGCAGGTGATGTTGGCACCAGGACAGACAAGCATGGATTCAGGTGGGATGTCTGGCCTTGGGTAACTGACTGCAACAGTAATATTCAAACCCTGGAGAACTTATGTGGACACTCCAACACTATTGACTGAAGAAAAACTACTAGGACCACACTCTGAACCTCTAGTGCTGGGCGATCTGATCAGACCTCACAGATGTGACATCATGTGCATGGCAGAGAGAAAGGGAGCAACAAATGCCAGTGAGCTCAGGAGTCACCTGGATGGTTTCTTAAATCTCGGAGAGTCTGGCTAGAGGAGAGTCTGGGTTTGTAACATGGTTGGGAGTTTGTTGCCGGTTTCAGACCCATGTTAGCAGGAAGAACAGAGACCAGAACACCAGTGACTGTGCTCACGGCCCCTGCCCCCTGGTGGGCCCTGGTAAATAAATGACACCACGTTCCAGGCCCCACATGCTGAGAGAGACTTAGGAGAAGCCTGAGTATGCAACAAGCTCAAAGCAGTCCTGGGGTTCAGCTAGATGAGGAATCAATAAGTTACACACCACAGAGTACCCCATGTAGTGTGGTGCTTAAAATATATGTTTAAATTATTTTCTTCTGGGAAGAAAAAGTCAAGATATGCCTGTGCTGGAAAATCCTGTTTGTTTCTATGTGTGGGGTCCGGCCATTGGAACTGGAGGTTGGTATAAACTCAGTAGCAGGAAAATGTCTAAATCTATTTCCTAGGTGGATTTTTTTTATTATTGCAAACAATGGATGCCAAATATTCTTAATATCAGATTTAGTAAAGGCCTAGAGAGATCTGAAACGTAGCTGTGCATAATGTAACAGATGGTACTGATACATGTAACATACAAAACAGATATACTAAGAGAAGACATGACATACATGTAGATATCAGTATAAATGTGTGGACATGGTCATCACGGTGACACAGAGCAGGCTGGAGGCCACAAAGGAGCAAAATCCACCATTCTCTCTCAGTCTCCCTCTCACACGACACACTGCGCCCGCCTGATTCAGATGGTGACACTTGGGCCTTGCTGCAGGTCACAGAGGTCACTGTCCACACCCTGACTCCCTGACACTCTTCACTGGGCCCCGAGTGAGGACAGCTGTCAAAGCTGCTTCTGGACACTGAGGTTACTGCTGCCACTCACTACCATGACAAATGCACCTGCACTGGCCCAGCTTCTAAGCCACCACGTCCTGAATCAGGGTCCATCATGTGGTCACCTATCGCGGGCTTATGTTGTGTCCAGTGCAAGAATGAGCAGTGGGGTTTCCTCTCTCAGGGAGGGAGGGCCTCTGCCTCCCACCCCATATAGACTCCCCTCAAGTGGGGAGGGCACAGGGTCTGAGGATGGGGGATGGAGGGTGAGGAGTTTGGAGAAAAAACAAGTTTCAGTTTTCTGAGCTTTATTGGAGCATTTCCCTTCTTCCACTGTGTCTAGAAGTTTCCCGTTCCTGTCCCCCATCAAAGACTAGGGCTATGGGAAGGTGACTTTCTCACTTCACAGCCCCAGGCAGGAGGATCTGGACTGGGGAGGTCACGCACACACATGCTCTCAGCAGCCTCCTCTGCACCCGCCTGATTCAGATGGTGACACTTGGGCCTCTGCGCTGAGTCTGGATGGAAACAGACTTAGGCCTCACCTGGAGGGAGTTTGTTTTACATGTAGAAAAATACAAATAATTTGTGGTCATAGGCGGAGTGTGGTGGCTTTCAATATTCCTCACATCCTTTGCCCTTGAGAGGCGGAGACAGTCCCATCTCCCAAGGGTGGCTGACTTGCAGGCTCACTCCTCATGGACAGAACAAAGCTCAGGAGATGTGCATCTCCCAGAAGAAGGCTGATGAGGCCCTGTGGGCCCTGCCTTGTCTACACTCCTGGTCGCTGATGGAGATGAGTCACCCGAGTAGTGTGGACACAGCTGATGGCACCCATGTGGCAGGGAACTGAGGCTTGTCTCCAGCACCGCTCTGAAGCAGACCCTTCCTGCCAGAGACCCAGAATCAGAGCAACAAGCCCGATCACACAGGGGGCCCCCAAGAGTGACACAGTCTGTGTTAGTTCATTTCCTGGGATGGAAATTTTGGGAATAATTAGTTTCAGAGTGGTAAATAGAGGATCATTCTTGTGGGTTCCTCCTTTAAAACAACAGGGGCAGAAGAAATTGTTGTAATATATTTAAATTGTGATATAAAAATCTTCCAACAATACTCCATCAGGACCAGCCAGATGCCCTGGTCTTTGAGCTGTGATGAACCTAAACCTTTTTGTAAAGTCCTACTGCGCACCCAAGAATGAGGAACTGGTACTGGCCCCGCAAGGCACACAAGCCTTGTTCTCCCTCCCCTGGATGTTCTGGGTCTGGAAGGAGAGAGATCCCTTATCCATCTTTCCCTGTTCATCTCCTGTCTCCTTCTCTCACTATGCGTGTGTCAGAGACAGAGACAGAGAGAAGGAGAAAAAGAGAAGAACAGAGACAGTGACAGAGAGAACCTTTCTGAAATTATGGCAAAATGCCTACAACTTAGTATTCCTGATCAATCATAGAATCCACATCTCTATGACCACCTCTCAGGTAAAAATAAAGAGGCTCCACTCCCCAGACACCCACTGCCCCTCCCCTCCATCCTACCCCCTGCCCCGTTGTCCACACAGCTGACCTTTCTCTGCACCTTACCTCTCTGCTACCCCCCCACACTACTCTGGGTTCCACCCCATGATGTTCCTATTTACTGCCTTTCCTCACTTCTCCAGCAACTTTCACCCCCATCTCACTATCTCACACCTTCCTCACATAATCCAGGCTTTGTTCTCAGGAGAAGGCGCTTCCTGCCTAGAAGCAGAAGTAGAAAAAACTATGGGGACTCAAGGACCTATATTTCATCTGTGAGCACCAGACATTCAGGGGAGTCAACCTGGCACGTGGGAAGCAGTTATTATGACCTGCTCTTCCTTGAGACATGTGTGCAGGCTTTCCAGATGGGGAAGAAACATCGTCAGGCCCCTCACCAGACAGGGAACACCCACTTTGTGCACAAAACCCTGTCCTTCCAAGCAAGAGACCCAAGGAAGGCCTGGCTGAGGAGGAGAAAGGGGCGCTCTCGTCTCTGCCACATGAGGGCGCTGCGGTGCTGCTCTCAGGCTCTAAGCAGTCCTTAGTCTAGGTCAGCAGAGTTGGCTGACTGGTAGATCAGGCATCAATGGAGTGAAGACTCTGTGAGGACCCGGGAAGCAGGACTCAGGAGGGAAAGCTCAGGAGCCCGCCCTGTCTCTTAAAATTGACATCTTTTATTCCCAGAACGTAGCTCTCCAGCCCTTTGATGGCAAGCCGTAAAAAAAACTTAAAATTAAGACTATTCCTTTTATGAGGATTGTTTTTATTT